GGGCAGCACCTTATTTATAGTACCTGAATTGCACTCCCTATTCCTTCTAAAGCTTGTGGCATTTTGTGTTGCAATTTTCTTGTTGTTGTTAATCTTGAATGAAGAAGAACTATAAGCATGAATAGTCATAATTGTAAAGTGTTGCTGAATAGTTAGGGAAAACTGTTAACACATTACAGTGTAGACATAATAATAATGGTAGCTGACTTCAATCGGCTCCTGCTTTATTAAGGAAATAATGGAAACGTATTTTAGGTAATTGCAGAAAAAGTTGTATATAATAATGTGTAATTTTTCCTGTTGTGATTTTTTTCATTCACGTATTTAATAGGCTCTCTTTAGAACGGTAGCTATGATGGTTCCTGATTATGCCATGATTGCAGAGATAGTTCTGTATTCTTGTGGTTTTGTTTCTGCACGACCTCTATCTGTAAAAATTGTGGCTACGTACCGTCTGTGTTCTGAGCAGTTGTCATCCCAGCACCATTATGATTATGGAATGAGAGCTGTGAAGTCAGTACTTACTGCTGCTGGCAACCTGAAGGTAAATGATTTCTTAGATTTTTATTTGTTTCCCAGGAACTTACTCAGTAGTGCGGCTCTTTCATGATAAAAGGTGCACAATTCTGTGTAATGGCAAGTACACACTCAGTGATGAACACTAAAATGAAAAGGGTATATTTTAGGCTGCAAACCAGGAGAATTCAAGAAGTTCATGGTCTGATCACTAGCTTAATGGGTTGGCAAGCCCATTAAGTGTGTTGGCTATCTTTCAAGAATTCTAGTTCAGTGCAGATTTAGTGAATTGTATGTGGCATGTTGGCCTCTGTTCTGCGTTATTTTCTTTACACCCTTAGATGCTTTTGCCATAATATGTTAACACCTTCCAATAGCTCACTGGCTAGTCTGCCAAGCGTGACTCCAGTTTCTCTCCACTTCTTAAGAAAAACTGTTTAGGATACAGTATTTTATTTTGATGTGTGTTATGAACGAATGACATCAAAGGCCTCCTTCTCCCCACCCCCCAAAGAAAGATAAACCAACAAAAGAAACAGCGCACTACCAGCAAAACAAACTGAAGCAAAAAAGTAAACGAGCTGTTTATCATGGCAAAAAGATGTGTATGTCCTGTTGGTGAACATATCTCTATGCAGGCTTTTAGACCTCCCGTTTTGAAAGCAAAAGGTTTACTCAGAACAGGGAAAATTTGTTCTTTTTATGAAGAAAATAAACACATATTAAAAAGCAACAATTTAATTTAGGAAAAAGTACAGTTTGTAATAATACTGTAACTGGGCGTAAAATAAAGTTTACTTGGCTTGAATATAGAAAGCTACTGTCATCTCCCTGATATCAAAGTATAAACATACATCTAGAATTGTTTGTGGATCTGAACTTGCCAAAAATAATTACACAGATGCACAACAGAAGCTGTTTGGTCAAATAGGGGTTTAACGTTGGCTTTTCAAACTAATAACATAAAGCTGTTTAATCTTTTTTTAGCTGAAATATCCATCGGAAGATGAAGAGATTCTGCTGCTTAGATCCATTACAGATGTTAACCTGCCTAAATTCTTGTCTCACGATTTACCACTTTTTGAGGTAAAAAAAAAAAAAACCCAACAAAAACGTATTTTCACTAATGTTGAAAAAAACTTGTTAAAAATGCTAATATTATATAGCAGATTTATCAGAGTAGTAATCCAAATACTTCAGTTTAGCCCCTAATTATTTTTAAACAGTCTTAGCTGTTCCTTCATAGCAAAGACACTGACCATATGGGTCAACTGTTTATATTTCTGTTAACTAGTCTTTGGTTATTGAGAGAGAAGGGAAAAAGCTTTTTCCGCTTTCTAAAAGCAAGTTTTGTAAAGTAGTTTGATAAAAGCTGATCAATTAGGTAATTAATCCTTTAATCTATATTCACATAAACATGAAAAAGGCTCATGAAATAAATGTCAGTAATAAATTAAGAAGTTTTGGCTCAGACCAGGTTATATGACATTCATAATTATTTTATTTATATCGAAATAGATATTAGTTTGCCTAAATTTTAAAGGACAAATCATTGATTGCATGAGTTTCAAACCTAATGACAGTAGAAATAAGTATGCTTTTCAATTAATTGTTTGAATAGGGTATTACCTCTGATTTGTTTCCTGGTGTGAAGCTGCCAAAACCAGACTACAATATCTGTTGGAAGCCATCAAAACAAACTGTGTTGCTATGAATTTGCAAATGACTGATGTATTTACTATGAAGATCCTGCAGATATATGAGATGATGATCGTGCATCACGGCTTTATGATAGTTGGAGAGCCTTTTGGTGGAAAAACTTGTGCGTATCGAGTTCTGGCAGGAGCACTGGGGGACGTATGCGAGAAGGTATCTAGACACATTTTATAAATATTTCTTGTGAAATCTGTTTTCAAACAAATTTTAAAAAAAATAAAATTGTGTTTGTACAAAATACAGAATTTACCCCAGGGTATTTAGGCAAGCGTAAGGGAAAACTGAGAAGAATTTGATTGAGAAGCTTTCCTTTCAGACTAAAGGAAGGTTCATTCCTGAAGTGGTTTTTACTCACCTAATCTCTGATTTGTGCAATATTACCTGTCATCTTTAGTCACAAGGAGACAAGAATCAGTTGAAGTTAATAAAAAATAAAATTGATAACTTTGACTGGTTTAAGTAAAAGCAAAACACAGCCAAACCAAAAGAACCCTGTGTGTAGTGGTGTTTTGATGTCAATCTCAGAAATTTACCCAAATGGTCATACTTATTCCTTTGCAAAACATGGGATAAATGAAACAAAGACAGGACTTGACCCATTTTCATCCACGCAAGTGTAAGTATAGTTCTTGGGTATCTTAACCGACTGACTACAGTCCTATTCACTAACATTTAAATTAAGTAAAATCCATTTTTATATATCAAGCCACTATTCGGTATTGAAATTATACTTCCAGCTGCATGCGATGAAGTTGGGAGATTTGTCTTTATGCACTTGTATTCCATCTTTGAAATGTAATATTTACGATATCTTTCCTTCTCTAACCTGATATAAGTTTTATGAAGATTTAATAGATATGTAAAATTCAAAATAAACCGTACGATATAACTAATGTTTAATGTTAACACTTCTGTACCTATAGGGGCTGATGGAAGAAAACAAAGTTCAGATCACAGTTTTAAATCCCAAATCCATAACAATGGGTCAGCTATATGGACAGTTTGATCCAGTTTCACATGAATGGTCAGATGGCATCCTAGCTGTAAGTTTCAGAGCGTTTGCTTCTTCTCAGGTAAGCACGAACAGAGTTAAAGTATTATTGGAAACAGCCTTTCAATACATGCATTTCTATGGTGTGTTCACAACAATTGCAGGATTAATAAGCTTAATTATCTGTATGCAGAGACTACGGATTGTTTTAGTTCTGCTTTGCTCCATGCAAGTGACTTTCTGGGTGCTGGTAAATTGAGATTTGTGTTTCAGGAGTCCTTATGTAAAAACAAATTTTGTTATTGTTCTTTGCATCTATTAGAGATAAATGAATATTTAATCCTCATGCTACATTGTCCTTCCTTATTTTGTCTTGTTTGGAATAAAATCTCCAAAATTTATGTATATGGTAATTTTGATGTTAGTTTTGGTGTTAATTTTGGATGAAACTGATTCCTGAGCGTGGCTTATGTCTGAACTTGCATTAAAGTCCATTGAAACATTTTGACTGAGTATAATAAAAGAAGGCTGAAGGAGAAGGGGCTGTTCAACCTGGAAAAGAGAAGGCTCCAGGGAGACGTGAGAGTGGCCTTCCAGAATCCGAAGGGGGGGGCTTTAAGAAGGAAGGTGACAGACTCTTTAGCAGGGTCTAAGGTTGAGACAGTATATGGAGTAATGATCTGAAACTAAAAGAAGGGGAGATTTAGATGGGATATAAGGAAGAAGGTTTTTACAATAAGGGTGGTGAGAACTGACAGTTACTTCAGTTTTTGCTAGTGATTGTAGCATCTGACACTTAACACTATAAATTTCAGTGAGCTAATAGTGTTTTGAATTTAACTGATGTGAAGTTTGCTGTTTCTAATAGAGTTTACAGAACTGCAAAAGCTGTTTGTATTTTGTTGCACAAGAAGTACTACAAATACCTTTAATTACCTGCGAGCATACCATATTCCTTAAGTTAGGCCTATTGAATTCTGTGGTAAATGTGGAGTAGGTATTACTGATGGTTTGTATTTGTTGTATTAACAATTTAATTTTGTCATAACTATTCAAATGTGTTGTAGTTTAACTGAAGCAATATACTGTTTTAAAAGTATAACTGAAAGTTTTTAGTAAAAAGTATTAACCCTCAGTAGCTGTCTACAGTAAATGCTTCAACGTAATGCGCCTAAATTGTGAGTGTAGATTACACATTTGATGTCAGAAACTTTATAATACAGCTTTGTACATACAATGTTTTTTTTTTTTTTTTTTAGAAAAAAAATTTTAGTGCTAAAATTTTAGTGAAAATAAAAAAAAAAAAAATCTGTTTTTTGTTTTGTTTTGTTTTCTTTTCTTTTAACCAGACCCCAGATAGGAAATGGCTAATTTTCGATGGACCAGTGGATGCAGTATGGATTGAGAATATGAATACTGTGCTTGACGATAATAAAAAGTTGTGCCTTATGAGTGGAGAGATCATCACAATGTCACAGCAAATGAGCCTTATTTTTGAACCAATGGATTTAGAAGTTGCTTCTCCTGCTACTGTAAGTACCTGTATTTCGATTTCTGATTGCAATTATTTTTCATTACGGAGGATAAAGTGAAAATCTCTCTTTTTTTTTTAATTAAATATACCTGATTGAGAAAAATTATTATTTATTTGATGTTTGTTTAATGTGCAAGACATTACATCTTGGCTTTCTTCTTCAAATTTTTCATAATCTTACAGTATCACGTGAGAGACTATGAGTGTTCTTCCAAGGACCCTATACAACTATTTGGAGCCTGATCCTTCCAAATGCTAGACAAGAAACAATGATAAATGTGCAGAAATTTAACCTGACAGATTCTAGTAGAATCAATGGTCACTGTATTTATGGTAGTTGTCAATCTCTGTTACGCCTGTTTTTTCTAATGGTGTTTTGTGAAATGCAAAAGTTTCCTCCTGAATATGAGAATAAGTTCAGGTAATAATATAAAGAGAACAAAATATCTGCATAGTCATACTGGGAAGGAGAGTTTTTACTTCAAACTGATGTAAAATTTAATTTAAAATTAAGTGCTGGACAATCAAGTGGTCAGTTTATTACTTTTTTGACCTTAACGTTGGGAGCTAATTCTGTTGAAGAGGAAAATCTCATTCAGATTATATTTTCCATTTGCTCAAGGATAAAGATTGGTTAGATGTTGACTATACATCTCATGGCTAACAGAACCTCACTGTACATTTCTTACGTCTTAGAATCCTAGAATTATAGAATCAAAAAGGTTGGAAAAGACCTCCAAGGTCATCCAGTCCAACTGTCCATCTATCACCAATGTTTTCCCCTAAACCACATCCCTCAGTGCAACATCTGCATGTTTCTTGAATGCCTCCAGGGATGGTGACTCCACCACCTCTCTCTGTGTTATCTTCCCATTAACTTCTAATAATCCTAAAAGCTGTATGTTGTAATGTTTAATGTTACTTTATTTTAGTGAGGAAAAAAACTTCTGAGATTACACAATATAACACGTACCTGTTCATTTACTTCTAGGTTTCAAGGTGTGGTATGATCTATATGGAGCCCCATGTATTAGGCTGGAGACCATTAATGATTTCTTGGCTAAATACAATGCATTCAGGAATCAGCTCTGCTCATAAAGAATTTATAGTGGGCCTCTTTGATGCGATGGCTCCTCTCTGTCTTGAGTTTATTAGGAAACACACAAAGGTGAGGTGAAGAACTTTTCGGGAAAAAAAAAAAAAGAGCATATTAACTATTTTTACTTCCAAGGAATAAATCATTTTAGTAGGACAACATCAATTTATTTTTATTTTTCGTAAGTGCTGTTAAGATGAAGGCTTTTGAGCAGGATGTTCATGGGATTGACCTGCTTCTGAATGTATTTCAGGCAAAAGAACAAAAAAGTGAAAAACAGCAAATAAATTAAAACAAACAAAAAACCCAACTAGTCTAATTTCACTGAGCAAAACATATCTGCAATCAAGAGTATTTCTTCTTTCTTCTCAGGAACTGTCTCCTACTTCAGATACAAACTTAATTCAGTCGCTAATGAATCTGATGGACTGCATGATGGATGAATTTGCAGATGAAGCCAAAGTTAAAGCTATGAATGACCATGACATTTTTTCTTGGCTTGAGGTGGGCAGCATGTTCAAAGTAAAGAATCGGCACCTTCGATCTGGGACTTAGTAGGATGGATTTCACGGGCAATAATACCTCTATTCAATCATTCTAATGGGCATTTTGTAAAGTCCAATTAGGAAAAAACTATTACCTGCGTAATACATGTGTCTGTACAGGGTTAATAAGGATATCACTTGACAGGGTAGTCCTTTGAGTAATGGAAGTATAATCTCTGTTGTTTTGGAATAGAAGTCACTTTATGCTCGAGTTGTCTCAAAATGAGGGCTTTGCACTGAGTAGGTCAGGGATTTTGCTGCACAGAAAAGGAGATCAGGTACTGATAATCAGCATAAATGGTGTTCCATTTTACTGGAAGCATGGTCCCGAGCTTTATACATAAAATTAAATTGGTCAAGCATTATTCTGTTGTGATCTCATGCAAAAATGTTTTTGGCTTAGCGAATAAGACATTTGTAATTTACAGGTACTGAATTTGTTTCTTCTCCGACTGTAGGGTATTTTTTTATTTTCACTGACATGGTCTGTAGGAGCTAGCTGTAAAGAGGACGACCGTATGAAGTTTGACAAAATTGTTCGAGAAATGCTTGAAGGACCAATTAGTGAGAAGACAAGGGAGCAATATAAATTGTTGAGTGGTATTGATCAACGCGCTTCAAAGGCGTTCACAGTCCCATTTCCAACAGAAGGAACCATTTATGATTATCGGTTTGTCAAAAAGGTGAGGTTTGCTAAAGAAGACGTAGCGCCTCGAAGTTTACACTGTCAAGTAATTTTTGGTGAATATTGGAACGTGTGTATTGTTGTTGTATTTTGTTGTTGTTGTTGCTCTCCTGTATGTTTCTGTCACAGCATAGGCAGGATGTTCTTCCTTATAAACCAGTGTAATATCCAGTGTTCTGTCTGAGGCTTAGAGTATCAAGGCTTGTCTTTTCAGCTACCGTAGTAATTGCTTGTTGTAGAGAAGTAGTTAGCAGAAAATCTACTACTGTGCCTTCTCATTTGTCCCTTTTCCTTGAGATTAAGATGTGAATCTTTGATGTGCCTCTTCCAGATGAGAAGAAAACTGCATAAGCTTTATCTAGCATGCTCCAGAAACTCCAAAATAAAATAAATGACCTATTTGGAGCTTGTCAGTCCTGTAAATTCCTGTTGCTGTACAATGAGAATTACGATGAGAAATGTCTAGATTTTAGATTGTGCATGATACTTGCATGTTGCTGAAGGAAGTGAGATTTCTATCAGCTGTGAAAGCTTTATGTCTTCCGATAATAATCTATAAAAACATGTTCTTCCTTACTTAAGGAGAGAGCAATCTTTAGGAATTTCATACGACTTTCATCTCAAGATTGATATTTTGGGCGGTAGGAGAGAAAATAAAGTGTTTTTTTAGAGCTATTTACAATTATATTATCTCCTTACATTAATTTTCTTAATTTTTTTGGCATATTCTAAAGACTCTTGTAGTACAGTGACCTAAAGGAAGAAGCCTTGCTGTGGCACTTCAGCACCAAAATTGGTTTGTCTACAAATTGCATAGTTTTGAGTTGTTTGTAATGAGTAAGGTGTCTGTCAAAGTAACAACTCTGATTTTTTTAATTTCTGTGATTGAATTATACAGTAATTTCTTTTATGTACAGATTTATTTATTGTTTATAGTTAAATGTATTCTTTTCCGTTATATACGTAATATGTGTATTGATACAAAAGTTAAGGTAAAAAAAATTGTCTTTCAGTCATAAATTCAGTAATTCAGTAATTGCTGAATCACTTGAGGCACTGGCACAATGTTTCTGTGTAAGTAGTCAGAATTGACAGCAAAGCTCTGTATCCTAGTTAAAGAAAACTATTTATATTGTGTGCACGCACACACACATTTATAGTACTGAAACCTGTGAAATTATTTCAAATATTTTTTTAAAATTAGCTGATAACTCTGTCCGTTAATTCACAGAACTTTGATATTTCTATTTGCGTTAGTTTCATTCTGCTTCTTCCTCTCTGTTATTAATATTTGACTTTCACATATATTAAAATAGGGAGCAGGGATTTGGGAACCTTGGGTGGAAACGCTCAAGTCAGCTCCTCCTATACCTCAGGATGTGACATTTAATGAAATAATAGTGCCAACTCAGGATACAGTTCGATATATGTCTCTGATGGAGTTGTTGACAGTGCATCAAAAGCCTTCTATGTTTGTGGGGCCGACAGGAACTGGAAAAAGTACCTATATCACTGTAAGTACTTCTAAAACAGACGTTAGAGATTGTTGAAAGGGGTTAAATGAGGAGTGAGTTGATGTTATTGTATATATAAAGAAAATGAGACATGAATGTTGCAGATATTATGAAAGTAAATTACGCGCAACCACAAAAGCAGTTACGTAGGTGTGTTACTTTTTTCTTATTTTATCTTTATTTTTCTTCACACTTACAGACTAGATTCTTATGGAGCCATCAAATATCCGTTGAAAAAAGCCACTAATACCATGTAAATGAGATTCTTCAATTTGATTCCTGTCCTGATTTACTTTATGTTGTCATTTTTCACCACGCTTAGTTGGCACGGTCCAGAGAGACACTGATGTACAAAAGACTATCCACTAATTCATCCAGTCAAAACAAAACAGAAAAAGAAATATTTATGTTCTAGAGTTAGGAGCAGCAAAACTGTGTGCTGCTGCTACTGTGGAAAAGTTTGGGAGATAATAACCTCTGTTCACATTCCAGTGGCAATTCCATGGATTGATAAACAGTGGAGAACAAGAATTTAGACACTGAAAGTAATCTGAAGGCAAAAAATGATAATCAGTATTAATATAGAATTCTTTATAGAGACAGACCGTGGTGGGAAGGAAATCAGCTTGTCAAAATTGTCCCAGCCAGTTTTCTTTAAAAAATCGCTTGGCTGTATCTGTTCACTGCAATAAAAAATGTTAAAAAGTGAAAATTAAGAAAGTGTATCAAAATAATTGTGTTCTTTTTATAGAATGCCAAATATTCTTTGTATCCTTGTCCATAAGAGAAAATGAAAAAGAAATGCAGATAATGCTGACTGAAGTTTTTGGTTGTATGCAATTTCTGCTATTTCTGAAACAAAATGTTTTTGGCAAAATGTTAATACTTGTTCTAGCTTCAGGATTTTTAAGCTAAAGAAAAAAGGAAAAGGATAGCTTTTTTCAAAATATTTTAATAACAGTATGTATGACATAGTTAAGAATTCTGACTTTAAGCAGTTTAGATAACTTAATCTTCAGATAGATCAGACAGGTACTGTGGGTTAAATCCTGATGCTATCCGTCTTTCTGGGAGACTATTAAAGCCTAGTAAGTAATGGAACTGTAGCAATATAATGGTCCTGCTGTTGGTGAAATCAGGGAAATTTCCGAATCAGCTTTTCTCATTGCATTCTATCTAGATCCATGGTAGAGTAATACTTTATATTTGAGGAAAAAAGCTTTTAACTCTTTGGAGATTAAACAAAGTCATTATTGCATTTTTAACTGAGATTCTCTAAATAATTACTAAGAGAGAAGCCATTCCTCCATTGTGTCTTTTTGTATAGAGTTTTGCTTTTGCTTATTCATGCCCTCAGCACAAAACCTGTGTACAATTATTTTGCAGAGGGCGAGTCTTGAAAATTATGTAAGCAGATAAATAAGTTAAGTCTCATGTTTTTAAGCTGTTATTTTCCTTTTCTATCATTAAATTAAGTGTAGTAAATTAAGTTACCAAGTAAGGATTATGTAACCTACCTCAATTTTTAAGTTACTATTCTGAAATAATAATAATTAAAAAAACCAATAAATCACAAGGCATTCATTTGTAATGAAGAATATGGTAAGTTTTTAGTGCCCAGTTAACTTTGAGAGTGGTACTTAAAAATGCGGTACTGCTTGGGAGTTCAGTATTGATAAGAAGAGTGAAAGAAGTGTTATCATTGAGTTACATTTCTCTCCAGTTTTTGTATATTGTCACTGTTATATTTTCATTGTCTTAATTGAGAAGTAGAAAGTGAATGTTATTTCTGCTAAAAAGATTGTGAGGTCTAAAAGCTCCAACATCTATTGATGAGAGATTAAGCAGCTCACTAGAGACATTAATTTATATGCAGTATTGCTCTGTAGCCATGTCTGAAAGGATGACTTCGAACCCTGTGATTTTACCTATCTGTGGGTAAGAAATGAGTCCCATTCAGTCTTACTTAAAAGGATGACTTTGATCCATATTTCCTGCAGAGATTGCATTTAAACTAATAAAGAAGAGGCTTTGGAGGGTAGCTAACATTATAAAATAAGATCAATCTTGACCATAAAACTTACTTTTACATTTTTTTCCTATGCCCTTTGAAGGCAATATTCCTGGGTACTCTTTAAAGTTAAGCAAAACTGTTTTGACCTGTGGCTGCTTTTCTTGGTTTGGGTCAGTACAGGCTTTACAAATCGACTCCTAATAATACGATGAAATGTTTTGCTTGTACAAATACTAACATACTGAATTTGTGTAATACACTGTTTTGATTGCTTGGGTTTTTTTAGAATCCATGAAAATATTTGTAAAGCAAAGTAGAAATTTTTCTTTGACAAATAAAGGTTCACTATTATTTTAAATACTGGTTTATCAGATGAAATACGATTGAAGTGTTATCTTAGATATACATTACTTCTTTTTCGTTGTGAATTAAATAAAAATGGTACAAATTGTTTAATTGCTATTTGCTAGATTGCTTTTAAGTTTGTCTATATATGTATTTTAACTTTCTGCTCAATTCTTCCAGAATTTCCTTTTAAATAATTTGAATAAAGAAGTCTATAAGCCACTGCTCATTAACTTTTCAGCACAAACTACGGCAGCTCAGACTCAGAATATTATCATGTCAAAGCTGGATAAAAGGAGAAAAGGAATTTTTGGGCCTCCTCTAGGGAAGAGAATGGTAATTGATATCTTTCTGTACGCAGGTGTTTAAATGAAAACGAATATATGAGTGTATTATTTTTGTAACTGATTGCAACCGATTTCAAGAAAGGCAAATGAATCCCCAGTTCTAATTTTTCTCATTTATTTGCACAAGTTTCCAATCTTATTTCTCTCTTTCACTAGTAATATGCATCTCATTTTAATCAACTGAAAAGATGATACAATACAGATATATGATATGAACAACAGTGATCAGCATATCATATTTCCCCCTCAGTGTTTTGTGATTCTGTGCTTTAGATAAGAGTTCTGTGCGGGTGAGGTGCTGCTGACAGCACATGACTCTTGAGTGTTGCTGTTTCTGAGTTTTATATAAACCAAACAGTGGAATTACCATGGGTTTGTCATTGGTTGTAGGTCTAGATTTTATGTCATGGGAAGAAGAAGCTTGTTCATCCTCGTTGCTCATTTGTGTGGGCATCTGCGAAGAGATACTCAGACAGAGCTCTGGAGTAAAAAAAAATGGATTCAGAAACCCAGATAGGTTTACATTCAAAGCCATCTCAGTTTGTTGCTCAAATTACAATTCTAAATAAGAAAAAGAGAAGAAAGAGGAATGAATGGCATAAATGTGTTTCTAGAACTTGCATTATTTGAATTAGGTTAACTGTGTGAAGATGTTTCCAGCGGCATATGCTTTAGGAATAGCAGTGCCAAAAATGATATAAAGCTTAATAGACTTGATAGTCTAAGTGAAGTTTGAAGCTTTCCTGGCTCTTCTTGCCTCTGGAGTTTTTGTGGGAAAAGGCATGTCAGTGGTGCAGAAGGATTAAGTAGCAAGTACTATTTTGCACTCTTATTAAATGCTCTCAGATACAAGAAAAGAAATACAGATTTTCTGTCTTCCGTACATTTTGGAATGGCTTTAGAATTGCCACGGTTTCTGTTGTAGCTGCTTGTTTTTATTTAACTTGGCAGCAAATCCAGTAAGACCTTTGTGATGATTCCCAGAAGACTGTACTATTCCAATTCAGCAAAATCAATAAATACAAAATTCTTTTGTTTTCCTTTTCAGGTTGTATTTGTAGATGATGTTAACATGCCAGCCCGAGAGGTCTATGGTGCTCAACCTCCTGTTGAATTACTACGACAGTGGTTAGATCACTGGAATTGGTATGACCTTAAAGATTGCTCAATGATTAAACTTGTAGATATTCAGATCGTTTGTGCAATGGGACCACCAGGTAAGAGACATGTATTATACATTTTTTTCTCTCTTTTCTTGGTTTCCAAATGCTAAATGCTTATTGCTTTAGTTATGGCCTTCGTGGCTATGGATAGGACTCAGGGAATGCTTTCTTTGCAGAAAATATGAACAGCAGTCAAACTAAAGTGGTTGAGGAGCAGCAAATTGACTGCACAAGTCAAACGGGAGGAGATATTTGCTTTGCAGGAAGACAAGAGTGTATCTGAACAGTATTTTTGAAAATGTTTTGGGTTAATGAAGCCTTGTTTGAAGCTTTTTAAAGAAAGCACTAAGTGGAGATAAGCCTTACTTTTCTTGGCAGAAAAATGAAGTAATCGCATGATGTCAGGAGATCATCTTTCCCATAGCCTGTGTACGTGTAGACTATATATATAGGTAGTGCGCTCCAACAGTAATGCCTCCTGTTTATTTCTATGGAAATCAAAACAGATACAAAGAGCACTACAACACTGATATAGGAAATTCTGACGTACAAAACACTGCTGTTCAGTGCAGTTACCATTATCTGTGCATTTTTGCCAGAAATCTGCATCAGCAGAGGGGACAGGCTGTCACTGCTGCTGAAATGCACAACCCACCACTTCGCTGTGCTCACATCCACTGTTTGGTTACCATAAATGTTCTGTAAGCATCAATGAATGTCAACGGATGCGTTCCTTTTTTCTGCATGGAGGAGTTCAGTGACATACCGTTGCTTCATATACTCTTCCACATCAGATGCTATTGTCAGAGTGCCGCTCTGCTGCCACCTGTTGCATGGCAACAACATATAATGGAATATTAGTTGACAGATTCATCCTTTACTCCCATGCTACCAATATATGCCTATGCTGCTATGGGCAAACATAATAAAATGGAAGACATTACTTCCAGAAAAGTCTCTTAGATGCAGCTCCACATTCCATCAACTCCCTCCACCCTCTTCAGGGTTTTTTACATCATATCATATGGTATGGAATATCCTCTGTCCGTTTTAGGTGAGTTACACTGGTTCTGTCTCTTCCCAACTTCTTGTGTGCCCTTAGTCCCCCTCAATAGTAGGACAATATGAGAAGCTGAGAAACTGAAATGTCCTTGACTCTGTGCAGCACTGGTCAGCAACAGCTAAAACACTGATGTTATCAACACTGTATTTTCTCCTGAAGGCAAAACACAGCATTATACCAGACATTGTGAGGAAAAAAGAGAAAATCAACTTCCAGCTGAAACTAGGGCAGCAGTGTTCAACCACAAAGCACTTTATCTAAACGATTAGTCTGTAGAGCTGAACAGAGGGAAACTGTGAAAGAAGAGCCCAGCTTAATCGTGCATCTTACTTTTTCAAAATTATTTTTTACTTTGGCCGAATTTTGGAGGCACTTTTTCTGTAAAACCTCCTTTTGTTCCTATCTTGAGCTTTTTTGCGTGGAGATGCTTTCTAAATCAAGAACATACATGTAAAGTCTATGATAAAGTCTTTCTTCTTCTACAGAAGTGTGGTTAAAATAAGTTCAAGTCTATCTGTCTATAACTTGACCATTTCAGTCTTTATTTTGTATACTGTTTATTGCAAGAGAACACCATGAATACTTTCACTAGCTTATTGCTTTCATTAAGTTTATGACCTGGTGCTTTTTGTTGTGGCACTGCTAGTTGAATGAATGATGAAGATTGAAAAAATATTGATTGCTAGGCTTTTTCTGTTTTACTCTGTCTTCTTCTGTCATTTACAATAGTACTGCTCTCTAATACATAGGTGGCGGTCGAAACCCAGTAACACCACGATTCTTGCGACACTTCAATAAAATCACCATTAATGAATTTGATGATGAATCCATGTACACGATATTTTCTAGAATCTTAGACTGGCATCTAACTATATGGTAAGAGATCTTTTTGTATGTAGAAAAATCAAAATAATTTAATTACGTTACAGGAAAATTTGAAATATACGTCTGTAGGAACTTTGTGTTGTAAAAAAATGAACGTATTTTATATCCTGTGCATTTTGTGATATTCATTACTTCAACTGAACTGATGATCATGTTGAAATAGTGAACTTATTCTTCTGAAGTTTCCAACAAAGTTCTAGATTAGCTGAGCCTAATTAAGTTAGTTGAGACATCTTTGTAGTACTGTATTATTTGATGTATAAAAACAATTTGATTAGAAATTGTTCAAAGAACAGAACCACAATCTATTCTTAAATTTCCTGTTGTTCGAGAAGGTTTATTCTTTCTTCAATCTTTCACTGCTGAATAATTTTAAGTTGTATTATTAGATTTTTAAATTTTTTTATTGATTCAGCTTTAATTTTTCTCTCCATTCTAACAGCTAAGTCTCAGAAAATTGTAATATCCTGTTTCTAGACTGTGTTGATGCTTGACAGCTTCTGACCCTTTGAGAAGAGAGATAGAAGGAAGATAGCAAGGGCTATTAGACCAACTTTTCTGTTGCCATTGTTAGTTGTAAAAATCTAGGGAGGAAAGGGTATGATTGCTTATGTCTGACCTTAGGCAATTTTTCCAGCATGTTCCATGTTTGCTAGTTTTGATTCATAGACAAGGTTGGTCTTTTAATCTAGCAAGGGAACTGATATTTTTTTAAGCTGCCCATGAGGAAGTATAACTCCATTCTGTGCTGGTGGGACCTCACCTGGAGTACTGCATTCAGATGTGGAGTCCTCAGTATAGGAGAGATGTCGGCCTGTTGGAGCACATCCACAGGAGCACAACAGAAATGATCTGAGGGATGGAACGAGGAAAGGCTGAGTGAACTGGGTCTGTTCAGCCTTGAGAAAAGGAGACTGAGAGGGGACCTGATCCAGGTCTATAAATATCTAAGGTGTGGGGGGCAGAATGGCGAGGCCAGACTGTTTTCAGTGGTGAGTGGAGACAGGACAAGGGGAAACGGCTGGAAACTGCAGCATAGGAAGTTCTGCACAAATGTGCGCAAGAACTTCTTCACAGTGAGGTGACGGAGCACTGGAACAGGCTGCCCAGGGAGGTGGTGGAGTCTCCTTCTCTGGAGATGTTCAAGACCTGCCTGGATGCCTACCTGTGCGACCTGGTGTAGGGAACCTGCTTTGGCAGGGGGGTTGGACTCGATGATCTCTGGAGGTCCCTTCCAACCCCTGCAGTTCTGTGATTCTGTGATTCTGTGATTCCCTGTGAAGGCAGGCTGAGAGAGCTGGGACTGTTAGCCTGGAGAAAAGAAGGTTCCGTGGCGAGACCTGATAGCGCCATTCCAGGATCCGAAGAGGGGGTATAAGAAAGAAGGGAACAGACTTTTTAACAGAGTCTGTTGAGACAGTATGAGGGGAAATGTCTTCAAACTAAAAGAGGGAAGATATAGTCTGGATGTAAGGAAGAAGGTTTTACAATGTGGGTGGTGAGGCACTGGAAGAGGTTGCGCAGGGAGGTAGTGGAATGCCCCATCCTTGGGGACACTCTAGGTCAGTCTGAACCAGGCTCTGAGCACCTTGAACTAGTGTGCGTCCCCGTTCATTGTAGGGGAATTGGACTAATGACATGGAAGAGTCCCTTGCAGCTCAAATAATGATTTTATGACTCCGTAAGCACAGAATTTTAAAAGCAGGGACATACAAGTGTGCGTGTATTGTGTTGTTTATTAATTACCACCTTTTATACCTTATCAGTTACAGCTTTCCACCTCAATTTATAGAACTGATTCCACAAGTTATTAATGGAACCGTGCGTATATATAAAGAAGCTATGAAGAATCTACTTCCTACCCCAGCCAAATCACACTATTTGTTCAATCTCCGTGATTTTTCACGTGTTATTCAAGGTGTTTGCCTGTCAAGGCCTGAAACAATAGATTCTACAGAAATGATAAAACGTCTCTGGGTTCATGAGGTAAATCACATAATGCTAAGAAATTATTGTTGTTGTTATTATTATTATTATTGTCATTTTAAGATGCCAATTTGACTGTTAATGTTTTTGTGATATCTTTTCCTATTGCCTAGCAGCTGTAAATTGCTATCACATTCATGAGACAAGGTTTTTTATATTCTGAATGGGCAGACTTAATCAAATATGTCCAGGTGGAGACTGGTGACAAGTAGTGTCCCTCAAGGATCACTCCTGGTACTGGTGCGCATCAGCATCTTTATCTATGCACCCTCAGCAAGTTTGCAGACAAAAGCAACCTGAGTGGTACAGTTGATATTACAGAAGGAAGGGATGTCATCCAGAGGCACCTAGACAGGTGTGAGGAGGGGGTTCATGGGAGCACGGGATGTTGCATTTGCGTTAGGGAAGTCTGAGATACACGTACAGTCTGGAAGAAGAACTTTGTGAGAGCAGCCCTGCCAAGAAGAACTTAGCGGTCCTGGTGGATGAAGTGCTGGACGTGAGCCAGCAGTGCTATATGTGTTCTTGTAGCCCAAAAGGCCAAAAGAAGGGTGACGAGCAGAGCAAGAGAGGTGATTGTCCTCCTCTACTCTGCCCTAGTGAGGCCCCAATCTGGAATATTGCGTCCAAGTGTGGAATCCTTACCTCAGGATAGATGTGGAGCTTCAAGAATGGGTCTAGAGAAGTGACACAAAATTTATCAGAAGGCTGGAGCATCTCTTCTATGAAGACAGACTGAGGGATTTGAGCTTATTCAGCCTGGATAAGAGAAGGTTGTGGGGAGACCTCATTGCAGCCTTCCAGTACTTTCAGGAAGCTTATAAACAGGAGGGAAATCAACTTTTTACGTGTGTAGATAGTGATAGGACAAGGGGGAATGGTTTAAACAAGAAGAGGGGAGATTTACATGAAATGTCAGGGGGAAGTTTTTCACCGAGAGCGTGGTGAAGTGCTGGAACAGGTTGTGAGAGAAGTTGCAGATGCTCCATCCCTGAAGGTTTTCAAGGCCAGGTTGGATGGAACCCTGGACAACCTGATCTAGTGCCTGATTAAGTGGTTGGAAACCCTGTCCTCCTGTGGCATAGGGGTTGGAACTTCAAATTCCTTTCCAACCCAAAACATTCAGTCGTTCTATGCCAATACAAATTGTATCTCTGTAGACAAGTTGACCACTGATTTGCTTGCATGTGATTATGTGGCCTCTGGTTGCTGCTTTGAATGCTTACGCAGTCCTTTCGATTTCTTCCCTCCTTCTTCCCTACAAAAAAAGACAAATCAGTTGTGAAAAGAACAGCAAGTAGTCCTGGATCTCTGGAAATTTGAGCAATCTAAAGTTTGATCCCTATTTTATTATTATTGGTTTTTTTTTTCCTTCTGGTCTTCCTTTGGAAGAAACTCACAATCTTCCTGCCTTCAGCAAATGCTTCCCATCCATCATAGTAGAATGGACACCTTAGAGGCGCAACTTAGAAACATTCCTTCTTTGTTTTTTTATTTTTCCTCTGGAATTAAAGGAAAGCAAGGTTTTTATAATTGTTATGCTTTTAAAATATTTGGCATCAATGATGGAAGACCTCTTTGGTATTCAGCCCATTGATCACCCTTTCTCAAAGAAGGATAACATAAAAAAAGGAGCAATAGCAAATTTTGAAGAAGCTTTTCTAGAAGCTTCTTACATTTCTATAAGTACAAGTACAACGCACTCCAGGAAATCCATTTCTAATGTTCACCATCTTTTTCATTAAAAAAGGTTCCTAGAAGCTGTCTTCTTGCTTGAAATACAAACTGTAACTTCTCCTATATTTTTGTAGCAGAAAGATCTGAAGGCTTCCTTCATCTGCAGCAGCCTTTTTTACATTTATACATTAATAAACGCATAGTATTTATTAGAATATGCATAGCAAATGCATATGTTTATGTATTTCCACACAGATCTCTACTGTAATTCCAAGGCTATAATACTGGGCTTGACTGTTCCAACTGACTCTAAATATCTATTTTTTTCTATGGATTGAAGTTTAAGATTATTTATATTCTGATTTTTTTTTTCTTCTGATTTGTATTCAATTTATCTTTATTAAAATAAATACAAATTCAACAGCAGAAACAAGTACTACAATGTAACTATTTTGATCATACAGGTCCTTAGAGTATATTATGATCGTTTGGTGGATAATCCTGATCGGGCTTGGCTTGTTGGATTTATCCAAGAAGTTGTGAATAAAGACCTGCATGAAGACTTTCATGAACTTTTCCAGAATCTGGACTCCAATAATGATGGCAGAGTGGAGGAAGATGACTTACGTACTTTAATGTTTTGTGATTTTCATGACCCTAAAAGAGACGACACTAAATATAGAGAGATCACTGATGTGGATCAGCTGAGATTAGTTGTAGAGAGTCACCTCGAAGAGTTTAATAACTTAAGCAAAAAGCCAATGCAGCTAGTCTTGTTCCAGTTTGCTATAGAACATATTTGTAGAATTTCCCGTATTCTGAAACAGCCTCGTAGCCATGCCCTCCTTGTTGGTGTTGGAGGTAGTGGCCGACAGTCTCTTACTCGATTAGCAGCCCACATGGCTGAGTACAACCTTTTCCAGGTTGAAATAACCAAAAGTTACGGTACCAATGAATGGCACAAAGACTTGAAAGATATACTAAGAAAATCTACAGAAGCAGAAACGCAGGGAGTTTTCTTGTTCACTGATACGCAGATAAAAAAAGAGTCATTCTTAGAAGACATTAACAACTTACTAAATGCAGGTGAAGTGCCAAACCTTTTTGCATTAGATGAGAAACAAGAAATTTGTGAACAAATGCGTCAAATAGATCGCCAGAGGGACAGGACCAAACAAACTGATGGTAGTCCTATAGCTCTTTTTAACATGTTTGTTGATCGCTGCCGAGATCAACTTCATATAGTACTGGCAATGAGTCCAATTGGAGATGCTTTCCGTAATCGCCTTCGTAAATTTCCCGCTCTTGTCAACTGCTGCACGCTGGACTGGTTTCAGGTAAAAAGAAAAATTTTATTTGGCTTGTTTTTCTAATGGAAATGTAGTAGGCATATGAGTTTAGTCATTTTTTTAGCAAATAATTCTGATTGAGATAGCAGCGAAAAATACTTTGGATTTTTTTAGTGTCATGCTTTAAATTGTTTACACACATGGAATAAACCTAACTGTAATAAAAGCTAATATAGGAAGAATACAGAATCATCAAGAAAATAAATGTCTGATTGTGGTATAAGAGCATAGCTGAATGAACATAGTACTGTAGACATTATAGATTTTAAAAAGAATCGTTTTCTATATTGCAAGGACTACCAGAACCTGTGCTCCAAAAAAAAGTTTGGAACTGTAACCTCTGTTACAAATAAACAAACAAACCAACCATCTTTCTGATGCAGACCACCATGTTTTCCCTACTACTCTGTAGTAAGACTATATTCTGCATATGACATCCTAAAGGCCCTAGATACATGATTTAAAGTATATGTAATCCATCAAGTTTTAACAGGTCCTGGTCTAATTTTAAAAATTCTTTTGAAGAAGAGTAACAATCTTACACCAATATGGACATATTGAAAACGTGAGATTTTCCTTTTAGTAAGAATGTTTGCTCCAGATGAGATTTGACAGGAGGCTTGAATTAAATCTCTAGGTATTTGAGTTCTTTCTAGTTTTTATTCTTCTATAATGATAATGCAGTCCGATTCTTTATGTCTCGGTATCTTCATCTGTGAAATGGGATAAAGATTTTTGTTTTTGTTTTGTAAAGTGTTTTGGTATTTGTAAGTGTGAAGTGCTGAGTAAGAGAAGTGTTGATTCATTTGTCATAGACGTGGCCTGAAGATGCATTGGAAGCAGTTGCCTCTCGCTTCTTGGAAGATGTCGAAATGTCAGAAGAAACTCGAAGTGGGTGTATTGATATGTGTAAAAGCTTTCATACATCTACCATTGTTTTATCTGATTTATACCACGCGGAGCTTCAGAGACACAACTATGTTACACCTACTTCGTACTTGGAATTGATCTCCACTTTTAAAACTCTGCTTGAAAAGAAACGCACGTAAGGATCAATGAAGTCCTTTACTAACAGAGCACAAGTTCACAAAAAGTATTATTATTTTTTTTTATCTTCTATAGCTAATCTGAACAAAACAGTGAATTGTTTCTAGTAAATTAAAACACAATTGAAATTGTAATAATTAATACATCCTGTTTCCTCTGAGATTCATTGGAGGCTGCAAGAAAGATATGTGGGAAAGCAGCTTCTGAGTTGCTAGGTGCCACGGTCTTGCTAGTGAGCTACAGCTTTGCTGAGCTTCTTCAGAAAGGGTTTCTGCACATCTGTGCAGCTGTACTGTATGTTCCTAGCTGGTGAGAGGAAGTTCTTCTGCTTTCCTTTTGTTCCCACTGATTGGACACTGCCATACCAATTAAGACAAGTTCTGAAGTTCATCTAAAAAATTGCTGTGTCACATTCTACTAATAAAGGGATTTCCTCAATTATACAAATTCTATTCCAGCCTCACCTCTTCCCTCTTATTTTTTCTCTTAACTACTGTATTGTGATTTTTGCAGTTCTTGGCACTCTGTTGTCAATAACTTAATAACTGCTCACTTACCTTGAAGTGATAATAGATTTATCTATAAACCAATCTCTGTGTATGCATAGTGGAGCAGTTAAAAACTGTGGCTTACGCAATTCCTGGTACATTCGTTATTTGTTGAGTGAATAAAACAAGCGTGATAGAGTATTTGATTACTTGATGTATTGAGAAATTTGGGGAATGAGCCCTAGTGAATGCAGTGGTCAAGTACTGATTAAATGTTTTTGTAATGAAGTGCTATTTATTTTTAGCAAGGTGATGGAAATGAAAAGAAGATACGAAGTTGGCTTGGAGAAACTGAACTCTGCTGCATCTCAAGTCGCCTCAATGCAGTCTGAGCTGGAAGCTCTGCAGCCTCAGTTACAGGAAGCCAGCACACAGGTCGATGAGATGATGGTGGTTATTCAAAAAGAATCCTCAGAAGTAGCCAAAACTGAAAAAATTGTGAAAGCTGATGAAGCAGTGGCAAATGAGCAAGCTATGGCTGCCAAAGCCATCAAAGACGAATGCGATGCTGACTTAGCTCAAGCACTGCCTTATTTAGAAGCTGCTCTGGCTGCTCTTGACACTCTCACTGCACAGGTATATCTGACTGTGTGTATTCATGAACTAGAGTGGTATTGTGAGAAACGTAAGCATTGAGTATCTGCTTTGCAGAGTTTATGTTACACTAACAATTTTTTTTTAATTTGTAAGCTTTTTTTTTTTTTTTTTTTTTTTTTTTTTTTTTTTTTTAAAAGGAAAAAAAACTGTATTTTGTAGCAAAAATACAATAAGACTGTTTTTGCAGACTGTATGATCAAATGTTATACTAGACATTTCAAAATTCATAACTATAAGCGTATTTTGCCTTGGCTAGCCAAGTTAGAAAAGTGTATACTTTAGACCTTCTCATTCGTAACTTTTCACCCTGTCAAGTATTATTTTTAGATTTAGTCTTTTGGAGTCTAGGAATTGAGATTCTGTGTTTCCTCGTGTTGAGGGAGTATGACATTGGAATTGGAAGTGGTCAACTTGTAGTTTTATGGATATCCAGTTTTGCTTTGCCTGTGGTGGGATGAGAGGAAGTTTCCCGGACTGCAAAAGTGTGGGTGGACTGTGTGCTTCTGCTGCTGTGAGAAACAGGATTTTTGAATACTTTGAGGAAATCTTACGTGAAAGCAAATGTTTTGTTATCTATAGCTACTGTTGTTATCAAAAGTTTCAGATTAGGTCATTGTCAGATCATTGGCATGGTTTATGAAAATAGTAAATGACTTAGACTCTTCAAGGCTGTTGTGTATTTGTGAATAACAAAACAGGAATGCAGCTTTGAAGGCCAATTAAGTAATTCTTCAGCTTCTTTAACTGCCCAATGTATCAAAAAAGTTTTATTGTAAGAGGAGTAAAAAAAAGAGGAACTTCCAGGGGGAAGGTGGGGAAGTAAGAGGTTTTTCCTCAAATCATAATTAAGAAGCATGACGAAAACAAATAAAAAGTGCATGTAGGGGAGCTTATAGCACTTACACTGGACTTTCAGATTCACCCTTAACTCCGCTGACAGCAAACGCTGCCCACAAGCCTGTGTGCGTAAATGCACTACTAAGTTCCTTTTTTAGAGAAACATCTGTACATAATTGAGTGCTATGAAATTAGTATAATTTTTTTTTCTGTCCTTCATTCATTAACGAAAATACTGCATTTCTGGAGCTATGATCTGCCATTTTGGTAAACTATTTTTATAGGGTGCGCTTGTCATCGTCCCAGTTACAAAGAGCTTTATTACATACCGATATCTCCCTCTTTTCAGAAAACGGCAGTTCTCTTGCTTTTCTTACAGTTATTCTTACACTTACATAAAGTTTCTTACACTTCACGTTGCTTTTAGTTGCTTTTAGTTTGCGTTTAGTCTTTGAAATAGTATTTTACTCTACTTAAAACCCTCATCAAGTTTCTTTGTATTTTGTCCTTAATTTTATTTTATGGAATGGTTAACTTTGGTCTTTGGTTCTCTTAGACTTCCTTCCCCGCAATTCCTATCAGCCTGTGTTCTGACTGCCTCGGTGAAATTCCCTGGCTTTATAGATAAGCTGTCCTTTCTCTCATTTGAACACTTGCACAGTTACAGTTGTTCTTAAAACATAGCTTAAAGCTCCACTAACTGTTGTTATTTTCTTTCTATTTGCATTCAGTCTTATCGTTTCTGTGTTTTTGTGGCGTGAGTAGAGAATTCCAGAATGTAAAAGATACGTCTTTCTATCCAAATTGCCAAGATCTTAGAACTCAAAACCAAAACTAAGCAAAACCTTGGGCGAACTGTCAAAATCTAGCACCAATTGGCAAGATAATTTGAGTCTAGAACTCCATTAATATTTTAAGTACGTTATTTTCTGAGAAAGGCTGTTAGAAAGAGTACTTGAATTTCCATGCAGAGTTAGTCTTTGAGAAGGATGATGTTACATTAATCTTTAGTTCACTAACCTTCTGTTCAATTGGCTGTGTTTGCACATGTACAATTATTTTGTTCTTTTGCGTTATGCTTACACATTTGCATTTTAAACATTGCTTATTCGTATTAGAAATTGGAGATTTTTCTTTGCGTGATGCAGCGTTTTTCTTAGTTGCTTCTTTCCTTCTTCAGTTCATTCTGGGGGTTTAATAACTGACCAGAGTACTAATGGATTTAATTCAGTACTTGGAGAGCACTATGGTTGGAGACAGTTTTGCCTTGTGTTATACCAAATCTATTAAGCCACTGCTGAATTGATTCTGTAAGTTTGGAAATACTGTTACAGAGCCTGAACCGAAGGTTAGCGGTAGAACGTCTGAACTCCGTAACTGAAGTGCAATGCCCACTGCTGATTCAGGGGCAGAAATTACGTATAAAAATGAGTTACAGATGAGACTTTTTTTTTACTCTTCCAAATTGACCATTAACTAGCTTTCGGGTCTTTTTGTTTAGAAGGCAATGTTAATTTGAACTCCAGAGCACTTCAAAGAGAGAAGTAGAGTGGGGGGTGAAAAGAAAAATATATTTTTTTCAGAATGAAAGTGAGCTATATATACGTGTGACCTACACAAGCTTTTAGAATCGCAATGTGTTTCAAATTATCAAGTTTGAAAATAGTAGGTGTGCGTGGAAAAATATTATCTTGATAGAAAAATGCTTATTATTTCTACTGTAACAGAGGAATTAATTCAAACGAATGTTCAGAGTTCTAAAAGTTGGATGTTTTTCTTTGTTTCGTTTTATTCGCTTGTATGTTTGTAAGGATATTACAGTGGTTAAGTCCATGAAGAGTCCTCCTGCTGGTGTCAAGCTTGTAATGGAAACCATATGCATCCTTAAAGGTATCAAGGCAGATAGGATTCCTGATCCAACAGGTTCCGGAAGAAAAATTGAGGATTTCTGGGGTCCGGCTAAGAGACTTCTGGGTGACATAAGATTTCTTCAGTCTCTTCGTGAATACGACAAGGATAACATTCCCCCGGCTTACATGGCTATCATAAGAAAACAGTATCTTACAAATCCTGAGTTTGTACCGGACAAGATTCGAAATGCTTCCACGGCAGCAGAGGGTCTATGCAAATGGGTCATAGCCATGGATGTTTATGATAAGTAAGTATGTGTAAAAATAATAATTAAAATAAACTTTGTTGAAGAAGTGAGTTTGTATTTACGCTAAAGGAAATTTGATACTACTTCTTACCGATGCAAGATTTGTGCAAATAAGCAGTCATAAACATTCATTCATAGAAGATATCTAATGTTAAGGTGTATAACCTGATTTTCAGTTCTAGATTTTTCTGAGAAGGCACAGGAGCGATGTTTATTCAGTTAGCAAATAAAGTTAACCTTTTTGGAGTGTTGCACATAGCAAACAGAGGTATTATTGAAATGTCTTTGGAAGTTTCTAACCGTATCGAGCCCCGAGGATACCTTGCGTATCCTTATGCGTGTTGTTTTTGGTGTGCTGAAAAAATATATGCAGTTTTGATGATGTTTCCTACTGAGAAATATTTGGAACCCACATTCAACAGTAAATCACCACCGGGTGACTAAGGTTAATCTGAAATTTGAGTCACGGTAAGTAGCGTTAGAATGGTAGTCGTTGACTAAAATATTAGGAAATGCATACTTGGTAGTTCTGCATTTGAGAACAACTTCAAATGTTATGGTGACCTATTATTGGAAAGAAAATTAACTACAAATGTGGACTTTGAACAGGATATGCAACTTAGAAGTAAGAGAGAGGATTAATTAATTACGACGTTAATATTTGTGGAATAGTGAGATAGGGACCTTCTGGCACCTTGTCTTGCTACATTTTTGAAAAGATAAACAGTATGTTTTCCGTTTTGTGTTGCTTCCAATGTTCTCCTCGTACAGGTATTGTTAGAAAATAGAGTCTTCAAAGCCGGAAAATACATTCTTGGATATGAAAAGCTATTAATTTCCTTGTGGGTTAGCTCTTTGCGTGTGTTCAGTGTATCTGTAACTTAATACAATTATTTATGTGTTTCCAATGGCAGAAATCCATCTGTAATGGATTCTAAGTTGTGGCTAAATGAGATACAGCTCAGAAGGATAACCATTTTCACTTTAAGGTATTAGCTATTACAGAAAGTTTTGCAGAAACTGCCAAAGTCAGTCAGTAGCAGCACAGAAATAAGTAATGAAGTAAATGAAGCAAACACCAATTGTCTTGTCATATCACCAAATAACGAAAAACAGGACAGTGCATAGCTGCCGAGTTGCTGACGTTTCCCTTCGTCTTTCCTGTATTGACTTTTTTTGACAGTAATTCTGGAACGAGGGTGCATTTTTCAGGTTTTCAGTTTATTCTTTGACTTTGTTTAGAGTGATAAAAAATGTTGCGCCCAAAAAGCTGAAGTTGAATGAAGCTGAAGCAGAACTGAAGATTGCTATGGATGGTCTAAGAAAGAAACAGGCTGACCTGAAAGAAGTCCAGGATAAACTGGCTGTACTCCAACAGACGCTGGAATCCAAGAAACAGGAGAAGGCTGACTTAGAAAATCAGGTACATGATGCAAAATATGAACTGTTGTTCCACCGATTTTTCATCAGTTACTTGAAATTTACTTCATTATCAAATGGTATTTTTCCTTTTAACTGCCTGTGTGCCGTCTTACTTGTAGATTGACATCTTTTTATTTCAGTGATAAGATCTTGAAGATTTGAATGCACAAAGCATAGGGAACGAATGCTTTAGGGTAATGAAAAATGCAGATGTCGTGATTTACAGGCATAGCTCTCCTGCATCCTCACTCACATTTGCTTTCCTAGGAGTTGGTTAATTTTCAATGGTTTCAATGGTTTTGATTAAATGTTAACTTGCAGGCCAGTACATTTGAGGTTTTAGTTACACCTTTTGTGCCAAAACAATTTTTAGCTTGTTCATGGTAAACTCTGTTCCTAACTGCAGAGCTACTGTGCGTGCAAAGACAGGCAACGTTTAGACGACGGTTTTTTATTTTTTGTTTTTAAGATTTGTAATACAACATCATGAGGTTTTGTTACAAGAATACTATCAGAATTTAAAATGGAGCCATTTTATCATCTTCTGCCTGAAACGTGTCCATAGCAGATAGAAGGAACTCAGAGACAGAGCTGGATTAAATACCTGTTAAATCAAATTGGAAAATTTGGAAAAAAACTTGGAAAGCTGCTTTAGATAAAAACCTGCAACAGCGGAAATGCAGATTATGTATTCGTGTTTTTTCACAGGAAATAACATAAATACCTACTTTAGTGAGACAACGACCTCTTTGAGTTTTTTGTGATTCTTTGGGACACGTAGATCATTTCGTTGACTTCAGTATTTTCCGTATCGCGTGCGGAGCTATCGTGAATTGCAGTGAATTGCGGGTTTTATATTTGTTGTCTTTCTTAATTCAGATGAAAGGGCAGCTAAATTTTAATGGGTTTCACTGTGCCGGTAGCGAGAGTGTTTTTCCTTTGGAAGCATTTAATTTGTAAATCGATGTTTTCTTTATGTTTCAGGAAATTAAGAAAGCACCTGTGAAGAGAAATTAATTGTGAATACTTTTTTATATTTCTCAAGCGATCACGTAATCAGTTTGGTTTCTTTTTCCCTTAAGGTTGACCTATGCCGCAAAAAAATGCAGCGAGCAGAGCAGTTGATTGGAGGCCTCGGTGGTGAAAAGACTCGTTGGAATGAGACCGCTTTGGAGCTGGCAAGGCAGTACATCAATTTGACTGGAGATATACTTATTTCGTCAGGAATCGTAGCTTACCTAGGAGCATTTACATCCAGCTACAGAAAAGTAATGCGCCCTGTAACTTCATGCACGTGTTTTTTAATAATCTAAATTTAATTCACTTTACTTCTTCCTTCTCTCATTTTTAATCAAAGTAATTATTTTCTCCATTTTTCTCAAGAAAATGTTGTGCTGCTTTTTCCAACTATTGTTTTCTTCGTAATACAGATACTTTGATATTACCGCTTTAAATCCTCTGTAGAGGGAGTTCACTTTATAAGTATTTGTAGCGTAAATAAATGGCAGGTTTTACACATCGCACGTACATAATTTTGAGAGTTTTCTGTTTTATTCTTTTAAGTGCATTTCAAGTAACTCTCTTTGTGTCTGGGAAAGTAGGAATATTTTTGGAGAAATATCGTAAAGGTTTCTCAGATGTATTCCTGGCAAGTGTAAATTCTAGCGTAGACGATATTCTTAAAAGACGTGGAGGCATCTCTAACCAAATATACCTGCATTTCACATATAGAAATCACACGCAAAGGCATTTTTAGTGACATTTTTAGATATCCTGTACAAAAGTGTGAGTTTCTCTCCGTTTGGAGATATACTGCTCTTGTCTGTAGCGTGTAGTACAGGAAATGCATTGGAAATTGTTTTTAATAGTTGTGGAAATATTGTAAATAGGCAGAACTTCAGTTAATATTTGCTGCTTTTCTCATCTAGATGCAAACCAAAGAGTGGACGTTAATGTGTAAAGCGAGAAACATTCCTTGTTCTGACGATTTTTCCTTAATGACTACCTTGGGAGAGCCGGTGAAAATCAGAGCTTGGAATATTGCTGGGTTACCCTCTGACACATTTTCTATTGATAATGGCATCATTATCTCGTAAGTAAAACAAATCTTCAAAAGCATGGTTGTTTTTAATTGCTTTCTTACAACATGCTTGTCTTTTAACTACCTGTGTAGACGGTTTTCTACTGCGTACGTTTAAACTGCATAGCTGGTCTAACAACCAGAGTTATGTAATAAATAAATGACTGTGATGTTTCAATTGAAGAAGTACTGATAATACCCTTCAACTTCATAATGTGAAGATTTTAAATTTGTGAATTCCCTCTCCTCTTTTTAAACTCTTCTGGATTGTTATAATGAAACCAAAAGCAATGATATTTCACAGACATGCTGCATACGGGATTACTCTTCAGTTTAAATGTTCTAAAGCGCTTCACCCGTGCTTTGGACGTCTCCATACATGCATAAAGTCAGGATAAAAAAAAACCCAAAACGATATTCACCTTCAAATTAATATATATTTCAGATATTTATGACAGCGCTTTTGTGTTGATTGGTTCTTTGTATGGGATTGATTAAACAGAAGCTATTCGCAGAGGAAATACAAAGTGGTGAACATTCTGTTCTACAGCTTGGCTTTATCCTATTTTGAATTCAAGAACGATGCAAGAAGTGAAAGAATAGAATTTTGAATTCTATGCTCGTAGTATAATCAGTAGATATGAAAGTAATCATCCTTCAGAAACTAAAGCTCTGTTAATTTAAAATAAATGTGCTGTCTGTTACTACCAAGGGGTGTTTCTGCAGGGCTAATGGAGACTATTTTGTAAATCCTTCTTTGAGGATTTTTCCCCTATATGGAAATGCTACGGAGATGATATAGATTTCAACTGCTTGTCTACAGACAGTATTTTGCCAAATGATGTAACATCCAGGCCCATTATGACTCAACGAAGCACCTCTCACTTCTGCGCAGTATGCTTGCCAGCACATAGCTACCGATTTGTAGCTTCTGGGTTTTCTTCTTAGGGCAACTGAAGCTGAGTTCACCTTGTTTTGACTGGTGTTCTCTTTGTGATTGCTACCTTGTATACTTCATTTCACATCTGTTGCTCTGTGTTTTCCTACAAAGAATAAAAGCTTCTTAGAACCAGGTTAATGGCTGGCAAGCCTGTTAGTAGATACTTATGTAACAGGTACCTCACATCTTTTCTGCAATATTGCATCGCATGAACTTGCTGATACAAACCTTTTCATTTTTGTTGCCGTTTACCTGAAAATTCTTGTCACTGTTTGAGGAGGCTGATGTTGTCCAATGCCGGTGGTCTGATACTTCTTTTAGTGCAGAGCAAATGTTTTCACACTTAGCTAATATTGTATATTAAGCTAACGTTTCGAAACATAGATGTGCAGTTAATAATTCAGCTTTGGTAATTAGGCAGGTGCTGTGAGTACAAAACTAAACAGATGTCAAAGAATAATTCGCTAGCTAAAAACCCCAGTGTATTTTTCACACTTAAGAATTAGAACTGATCGTACGTCTGGAAGCGAAACATTTTACTGATGTTTCGGAGGCGTGCTGGGATTATAAATGTAACATGTAACTTTGTAAGCAATTACCATATTAATAATTCGATCACCTAAGCTCCAAAGTTGACGCATGTTAATGAATCCACCGCTTCCACAGTACATCCCCTCCCCTCACTTTTATAAAGCTTTGATCAAAATTCCCTTTGAACTGATGAGAAGATGATTAGCATTTTAAAACTAAATAACGATGGCTCGCAATTTTGAAAAATCAGATAAGTTTAGCTCAGGTTGAAAGTACGTGTTATGCTTGTCGTTATATGTGTGTGCTTACATTTTTTTTTAGGACCTCAAGAACAATATAAAAATGCAACTTGAGTTTTTTAGAGCAATGAACACGCTTTTTTTTTTTTTTTTTTTTTTTTTAAGGAAGAATTTGAGAGCCATTTGGAGATATTTTTGGAAATATACACGGTATTACTTGTGCATTTTTGTCCATTAAAAATGGTTTCAACAGCAATGAAGGCCTTCTGTGTTTAACTTTTATTAGAGTCAGCATACCTACGTGTGGTAAAGAATGCTGCAAAAAAAAAACCCCATAAAGTAGTAATTAGCTCTGGCAAAAATAACATTGAGACGTTGTGCGTGTCCATAGTGCTTTAGGATTAGGTTTAAAAGATGATATCTTGAAGTATAAGTCACCTCTTGCATCCATTCGTTCACTTGGCAATGCTAACTTAAGTCTACAACATTAAAGCTGTTCAGAATTTCCAAACTTACAGCGATCTTTTTAGTTTGAAAGAATTATAAAATTAAATGAGATTAATCTTTCTCGGATTTAAGAATTATTATTCTAAGAACTTTCTTTGGAAGTGGGAAATTTATTTTTTTGTGGGCAAGTAACTTGAAGTTTCACGTTTCCTCTTAATCTGTTAAAGATTACAGCTGAGCATGTACCTCAGCTGCAGGATTTTGGACTTGCAAGCTTTTGTTTTAATGAAAAAAGAAAATACATTGCCTTAAAAATGACGTTGAGGTAACAGTAAAGAGCTTCTGTTTCAGCCTTGAAATGTGTACTTTTCCCTTCAGAAATGCGAGAAGATGGCCTCTTATGATAGATCCCCAGGGTCAAGCAAATAAATGGATAAAGAACATGGAAAAAGTCAATAGCTTGCACGTGATCAAGCTCAGCGACCCTCAGTTTGTTACGACACTGGAAAATTGCATTCAGTTTGGCAGTCCTGGTAAGTTATTGAATAATGAAAGTGTACATTACAGGAAAACCTAGAGAGGGCACAATTAAATAAAAAACAGAACTCCGGCGTTAAATTATAACTATCGTCGTTGATGTCTTTGATGCAGGTTATAAGCTAATTCTTAGGAGAAAATGATTCTAATCCTCAGTTTAATTGGTATCTTTTAATTGCTCTGCAAGAACTATCACGTCTTTGTTTTCATGTTACAATCATTTGACTTCTAAAAAGTAATGTTGTTTCTATTTATGGCTTTTTAAGAGTATGAATTACCCAAGTGCTAGGCTGTGATAATTTAATGATTCCTGGATTCTGTAATTTTACTGCAGCTGCCGTACTGTTGTACCCTCAAACATAAACAAGTTAGTTAATAGAATACGTAATGATAATCGCAGCTAATTTAGTTGGATGACTGGAGCTGAAGTAAAGAAATAGATTGTTTATTCTCCGTTATTTTTCTTTCGATTTTGATATTCTTGAAGTCTCGCATTGAAAGACAAGAAGGCGTGGATACTCAAAGTGATTTCTTTCGGTGGCACATGGCGTATGATTTGTTGTTACTTCCATTTTTAAGAATGGTAATCCATCGGCAGCAGTAATAGGAGTTTCAGCTGCTTGTTTGGAAATAGATACAATATTAGGGAAAAAAGATGAAATTAAAAATTCAGTTCTTTAATTTGGTTTTTATTTGGCCGAACGCTCTAAGAAACGTTAATTAGATATGTAAATTTTGCCCGATTGATATTTTCACTTTTTGTGCATTGCTTACAGATTGCAAAAGACAGTCACTGAGTAGTATAAATAGTATAAATGCCAAGACAGCCCTACTAACGCTTACGTTGTGTTGAAGTGCTTCTAGAGAATATCGGAGAAGAACTGGATCCTATTCTAGAGCCACTGTTGCTCAAACAGACGTTTAAGCAGTCGGGAAGTATATGCATTTGCCTCGGAGACTCCACTATCGAGTATGCTCCTGAATTCCGCTTTTATATTACGACTAAGCTGAGAAATCCTCATTATCTTCCTGAAATATCTGTCAAGGTGAGAATTTTGAAAGTACAACTCTGTTTTAACTTCAGAGTGATTCCTTGGCTTCAGCGGGGAAGATTTTCTGGCTTTTGTTGATTCTTCCTCACTTAGAATTTTTTGTTTTCGGCACTGCTGGAAGACCAGTGTTGTATCTCGTATGTAATACGTCACCTTGCAATACCAACGTATTTTCATACTCTAAGAAAACGTTGATTTATTGTAACACCTTTTCCAGTCTCTATCTCTCGATTCTCTCAGTAACCTTTATTACAAAAGCGTATTCAGGGATTTAATATAACATTCGCATGACATGCAAACTCTAATTAGACTTTCATATTCAAGATTCTTTTTTGTAGTACAGGTAATTTCTGACATTGTGCCTCCTTTATGAAAGATATAAAAATAAAATTTAATATATATAAAATATAAAATAATAAAATAAAATAAAATAACAAATGCTAAAATGGGGACATAATTTTTATATTCGAGGAACAAAGAAAAAGCATTTTTCTGCTTTCAAGAATAAAATGGGTGGGTTTTTTCATCTTAAAATTGCTTGAGGGAAGTATTGCACTTTTTCTTCATCATTCCTTTTAAAGAGTTTTTAATTGAAAAGTATTGTAAATCGGCACTTTGGCTAAAGGCTGTACTGAAACGCAGAATCTTTGAGTCAAGCTTTGTAAACATGATATTCAGCAATGTGGAAGGCTAAGTTTCAACTAAGGAGTACTGAAAGTGGGGGAAAAAAGCACAAAAATGAACGAAAGGGAATAACTTTTGTTCAGTTCTTTTATCAAAAAAGATAATTACCATCAGGTTCAGGAAAAGAAAAAAAAGATGAAATATAACAGGAAAGAGAGCTTGCAAAATATGTACTCTTAGACTAGTACATATGTATTTAAAATTGTATGATAATTGTTTCCTAAGAATTGCTGATAGTTAATAGAATTAAAATCTTCTAGTTGTCAATCAGCAATTGATAGAGGGAGAAGACAGAAAAGTAATATCTAAATAAATTTGTCCAAACGTAATTGTGACACCCTTTGCTGTGATTATCCTGAAGGTCGCTCTGGAGGTAGCTAATGGAAAAAGAGTCCAGAGAAAATAGTTACTGATAGGGCTATCGTATTTCATAGAAATGATCGTAATGAATTCTGATGTCTTATATAGCGAAGCCTTCAAAGACACATATAGAACATATTTGCAGTACAGAGATATATTTGCAGTTATTAGTCATGCAGAGTATCTTTTCTCCATTTGTAAGATTATTTATTAGAAATTGATTAATTCAAAAAGCACTAAAAAACCTCATGATTTTCAGCTCTAGGAATGCTGTCTATTCACGTGCATTAAAAACATCATTACGGCCCTCTGAGGATAAGGAAGAATGCAGATTTTAACGTTTGCGCTTAGTCCTCAAAGACTCAGGTATCCGAGCCAGCCAACTTTTCAGAGCGTAGCCGCTCTGGCCGAAAGTTACCTCAGAGCTGCTCGTAGCAAACTTTTTGCTTTGAAGAAGAGAAATGGAGCTTCTGAAATGTTCGTATGTTTATAGCCTTTAGATCTATATAATCTGTATATTTAGATCCGTCTGTATATTATATATCAGTTTACCAGTATTAAAATTCTGAGAGAAGATGGGGGAAGAAATTAGGCCGCAATGCTTCTGAAGATCATAATGATTCTTAGAGTCACATACAACTGAACTTTATCTCAAAATTCCCGTTTAAAAAAAGCAGTGAAAGAGCCTCAAATGAGGTGTGGTGTAAGGAATACCTATTAATGTTGTATTTTAAGAAAATGAGAATACTATCTCTACTAACTTCGCAAGCGAAGCTCATAGAAAAAAGGTTTTGACAACTTTTCATAGTACTAGAGGAAGAAGATTAAGACAAATTGACTGTACGGGTATTTTGTATCGTCACTAATCCCAAGGTTCAGGTGAACGTTCTTTGGAAATACAGATCATCTGTACCTACCAAAAAAGCCCAGAGAGAATCTGTAGTCACTACAGAGACTTTCAGTGAGTTGATTTTTTTGGTTTTGAACTACGCGCATCAAGTATTTTCTAGTCTCTACTGGTAATGTATTTTTTTACCTTTTTCGTACAAAACATTATATGTTTTTTGCTTTTTCAACCAAAGCACGTCATTTATTGAGTCGGTTATAAATACGTTATGGCACAGAAATCCTTTTAGTGAATAAGTTTTCAAATTTTTTTTTTTTTTTTTTTTTTTTAAAGATATTTTCTCAAGAGAAAGAGGTGCTATTATGCTATTAGTAGGGTACAAATATCTGTGGTAATAACAACCCAAACTACATGAGAACAGGACAATTAAGAGGGGAAAGTGTATGTTGTGGGAGCAGCGTCAACTAAAAGTGTAACTCCGGCATCTGTGTTTCCACTTACTTGATGAAAATTGCGAGGATTGATTATAAAGTAGAAAGAAGTTTCTTAAAGTTCTAAAATGCGATCTGTATTTGTGTTTTTCTAAAATACTGTGTCGGCATCCCTTCTGCAGTGGGATGTTCAGATTGAACAGATCTGGAAAACAAACACGAACCAATGTATTTACAGAACTTGTGCATTAATTTGAATCTTCCATTCATAGAAGTCTCTCTGAAAAAGCTATTTGAAGGCTAAAGGTATCGAAGGATCGTTCATTTACGTTACGTGAACCAGTCACTTGAAGCATTAGAGTTTCAGTGTAATTTCAAGCGCTAACTTTCCGGTACACGATCTTAAACTCTCATCTGCTATTCATTTACCATCCAATTTTCGTATAAGGCGTCGTTGTGCAGTCCTCATCCTGTAAATGAGGAAGCATTTTAATTGTATACGATCAATTCTCAAAACATCTTCCTTCTAACAGGTAACGCTATTGAATTTCATGATAACTTCAGAAGGAATGCAGGATCAGCTTCTTGGAATAGTAGTTGCAAGAGAAAGACCAGATCTCGAAGGAGAAAAACAAGCCCTCATCCTTCAAGGGGCTGCAAATAAAAGGTATGAAGATAACTTCCCTTGGTAGGGACAGAAGCAGATTGCAGTTTAAGAAAATCAAAATCATTGGAAATACATTTCATAGGCATTTTTTAATTGTTTTATTATTTAGGTCTGATTTAACAGGAAATTCAAGAGCATGATTTTTGAGAGCCCAGGCTCGGCTCATTTGGCTTTTAGACTGATCAGAACGCACGGTCTTTCTCGTACTCGTACCATTTATGGCTTTCTGTCACAGACACAGTTTGCTATATGTGGGATTGTAATAAAATACTGAAGAAGTTAGGGGGATGTGTCATTGTAGAGCAAATTCTTGATCCTGTCTTCTGTCTTTACATGTGCCTTTCAAGTTGTTATTAACGTATGATTTGCTGTCCTCACAAACGTTGATGTTTTACAGTTGTTTTTTTTTGATTTTTTTTTTTTTCCCCCACTCTGCATTATATTTGCTATTATTGCACACGCGGAAGGGATCTTTGCCCACAGATCAAAGCATGAAACGTGTAGCATTCAAAATGTTGTGACCCATTCTCCCTTTGCAATGTTTATTTCGAGTCTGAAATTAGCTTAATTTTTCTGAAATTTAAGCCAATACTTAGTAACAGGTACAAAAAGGTTTTCTTACGTAAGTTGCGTACCGTGGAAAGAATCTACGCGTAACCTTCTGTAAAACTAGCAGAAAATTGCCAAATTTAATAAGCAAAAAAAAATTTATTTTATCATAGGCAATTAAAAGAAATAGAAGACAAGATTTTAGAAGTTCTTTCGGCTTCGGAAGGAAATATTTTGGAGGATGAAACCGCTATTAAGATATTGTCTTCTTCCAAAGTTCTGGCTAACGAGATTTCTGAAAAGCAAGCTGTAGCCGAAGAAACAGAAAAGAAGATTGATGCCACTCGTATGGGCTATCGTCCTATTGCTGTCCATTCATCGATCTTGTTTTTTTCTATTACCGATCTAGCCAACATTGAGCCGATGTATCAGTACTCTCTCATGTGGTTTATTAACCTTTTCACCATGTCTATAGATAACTCAGAGAAATCAGAAGATTTACAAACAAGGTAAGCGGGGTAATCTGCCATATGTAATTGGTGACATGTTCGGTTAGTCTAGAGAAGTTATTGCCATTTCTGCGAAGCGTGTCACGTAAGGCGTCGCGTTCTGAAGCATTCTTTGTATATATCTGCCGGATATTGTTCTGGAAGACAATTTCTTCATAGAGACAAAATGGTATGACGTAATACAAGCGCAACATATTTCACTCTTTTATTTAGTAATTGCTAACTTAAGACACGTGTGAAATTGCAAAGGAGCAGAGCGATTAAAATGGTCTGCTCACCTTAATTTTGTGTTTAATGTATTGACTTTGTACGCCTTCCCGAAGCAGATAAGAAACATTCACGCAACTGGTAAAAGAGAATGAAGTCTTGCGTCCGGGGGCCTAGGTTGTAGAGTAGGAAAAGCAGTAGTTATTAACCCAGCAAATGTTGGAATGTTTGATTACAGTTTTGTATGCGGGGCATCTCTCCCTCTTCCATTTTTTCTTCACGAGAACGGGAGAAACTGCAATCTTCAATGATCTCATAAAAGCAAGCCCTGGATTGATTTTACGTGTGATTGATTAAGATCGCAGTAGGATTGTTCAAAACGTAACGCCGAAGTGAATTAGCTACACGGAGATTTTCTTAAGAGATCTTTTCAGTATTCCATCAATTCAATTAATAAATTGTATTTCGGCAGCTTGTTTGATCTCCAGATCTGTGGATTAAATGCACGGAGCTTTGCTTTTCTAGCTTAGCTACTTCTGTGGTCATTCACTGAATGAAAGACAGGGGAAACTACTGCAGAAAAAACAGTTAGTGTTACAGATTGCAATTTCTGAATTATCTGTGACAGTCTGTATTTTATTTAAATACAAGTGAGGTGCGGTTCCTGGCAAGGTAGCACTTAACGTAAAAGCGTTTGTTTTAATGGTGTACTGATTTACGAAGGTTATTTTTTCATTAGAATTTAAGGTCTGTATAGTTCAAGATTAGCATACGCGTTTTTATCACAAATGCTACGCATTCAAGTCAGAATTAATATTTTGTTATCGTATTTGAAACTACGTTCAACTTATCCTTCTGCCAAAAGGCAGTCTGCATTCTGTACACCTATCCCTTTGACTTTAAATCTTACGTGTTCTTGTCTCAAAAAAGCAGCCACACGCTCCTGTGTTCCTAAATCAAAGTCAGCGAGCGATAAGAAAAACGTTTTTTACTTAGTTTGTTTGAAAGAAAAACTTTGTGCTAGCAGAAATTGGAAGATGCGGGACCTGAATTCCAGCTGACACTGTGCATTCCCGGGGCACGATCGGTGTAAGCTCATTTTCACAGCTTTGCCCATGAAAGACATAAAAAGGCAGACCTGCCAAGGCACAGAAAATTCTGTCAGTTAATAATTCACGTGGGACTTTTTTCTTGGGTCGTCTCCACTAATCAGGTGGTATTCACTACGTGCTCTGAGATTTTTATATTCTTCTTAATTCTTTTCTTTGTTTGACATAACTGTATGAATGCAGGTGCTTGGTTTCTAACCATCTGTATAGGTGTTTCATTTCTTTTTGGCTGTTCTAACGTAACTCTTGGCGAAATGATGACTGACAAACCTTCCTTTTTTATTTAATTTAAAGAAAATAATTAACAGTCGTAAGTTTTTCGTAAATTTGCGATTATAGCGTCTGTAGAATAGAAAATAAATTACAGAAGACGATAAAAAATCAGCGGTTTGGATTTGAGCCGTGGTGTTCTTGTTCATAATGAATCTTAAGATTGTTGTTCTTTTTGCCACTCCCAGAGGAGACTGCTCTTTTCCTCAGCAAAACGTGTCGGGGAGTCGTAATTTTGGTTTTTGTTATTTTGGCCAAAAATCGGTACCCCAATTTAACGATTCTTTTGAGGCTAATTGAACAGAGAGTTTCTTACGATTAAGGGGATCCAATTTATTTGTAGTAGGCTTCAAAAATGCACAGATCTTAAGCTTGATATTAATGGAAGATCGTTCTTTTCCTGACACCTGTAGGTTGAAGATTCTCAAGGATCATTTCACTTACTCTCTTTACGTCAATGTCTGTCGTTCACTGTTTGAAAAGGACAAGCTGCTCTTCTCTTTCTATCTAACTGTGAATCTCCTGAAATATGAGAAAATGGTAAGTAATTAAAAATAATCTCCTGTTCAAACGACCAGCCGTAAGAATTGAGAGGATAAAATAGGAAAATAAGCGTATACGTAATAGTAAAATTTAATCCAGAATTTTGTTGTTTGAGTTCAATAAGCAATTACTAGAAGCAAAGAAGATTCTATAGAATAAAATAAATTTGTCGCAAACAAGCGTGGCAAAAAACATACTGGATGATAATAGCTTTTCTGGATGTTATTGAAACCTAAGTCCGCCCTATACTATTCTTAGGGTTAAGGTTTTACAAAATTTTACCGTAACGTATTCTGAATTCTAAAAGCTTATAAAAACGAATTGTGAGAGGCAATTTAAGAAATAACTCATCTTCACTTGAAGCGTTAAATCTTTTCAATTTTAAAATCAGCTTTTGTGTTAAGTTTTCCAGTTCCTCAAATTCATTGTTAACTGAAAATCGTACACTAAATGCTTCGGGTAGGATTCTTTTTCAACTGGTCTAAGAAATCAGATAAGCACAGTGATTTCCTATAGAACATATTAAAACTATCCGATTTTATTTATTTAGTTCTAAGAGCAGCGCTTTTTCCCGCAGATTAACGAGGATGAATGGAAATTCCTATTGACCGGTGGCATAGGCTTGGACAATCCCTTCTCTAATCCGTGCACCTGGCTTCCTCCGCAATCATGGGATGAAATCTGTCGGCTAGAAGACTTGCCGTGCTTCACGAACATTAGTAAGGATTTTACGCGACTTAAAGACGGATGGAAAACCGTGTACGACAGCTTGGTACGTTAACCTTCCCAATTCTTTGCTTCCAAAAGCTAATTAACGCATCGAATACATTTATTGTCAGAAAATGGAGTATTGTCATTTTACAGGGTTGATTTCTGCATATATGAAAGTAAAAACTTAAGCAAACGGTGTGGAGGGGCAGATAACTGCCAGTTTGTCAGGTGGCTACTGAATAGCAGGTATTTGATTTGGGCTGGAGTAAAAGAAGGCAAATCCTGTAGAAGTAAGGCAACAGTGAAATTAGTTACATTGAAGTCAGCCGCTGTTGCCTTATCGGTAGGTCCATTTGTTCACAGGGCTTTGAGGATGCCTTTTTGTACCATTACATAGGTATTCAGCTTTTTTGGGTAAATTCAAAAAATGACAGCAACAAAAACAACCGTTGCATTTTAGAAATGCTCAAGTGGGATTCAGGCGACCTGCATCCTATTCCAGAGTGACAGATAGGCACAAATGATTTCTTTAAACATTTTCACTACAGTACACTCAAAATTGAGCCTTTGTAGCTGACTTACACTCCACTTTTAGGCACTTGCTTTATCTTACTGTCAACTTCTCTCGGCGCTCGTTTTAGCATACCACTTTTCTTCTGCTTTTAGTTATGCCATTAGTTATGCAGTTAGCTCTCACCGTACGCACAATTTCTGATCCAACTATTTTAAAAACTACCATTTCCCAATAGCACCACGCCTGACCGTAACTGTTTCCAACACTGAAACAGTAGCGTCTGTTCAGCTAGTCGAGCGAGGGATTTTTCTCAACGTTACTTAAATGAGGAAAATATATCATTGTACAGCTAGATGGCCTGTGACCTGTTACACTCTTTTTAAAAAGGCTGCATTTTATCGATTTCAACGATTTAGAAATCCTTTCTCTGACCAAGGGACTGGACGGGGGTAGAGAGGACATCTAAAGGATTTTTAGTTGGAATTTCTCATGACGGTATGATAAATTTTGAAGAAATAAAGCAGATATGGCTGCTTCAGTCGTCCAGATAGCAGGAAACCGGCAAATAGCAGAAATAAAGCTTGCCTTAAGCATTTACATAACTTATATGGTAAGTTGAGAGCTTCAGTTCATCTTCCAACACTAGCCATTGAGAAAGCAAACATGGAAATTACAACCTTTGAAACAGAGGGTGAGGAGACTACTTCATTATGTACACTAAGATAATACCATTTTATAGTAAAGGTGCTGACTTGCAGAAGAAAAGAATCAGGGTCTACGTATTGACCACTAACCACATTCAAAAAGCCAAACTGAAATAAGCAGAAATTTCTTCACTTTATTTTTTCATTTAAAAAAAAAAAAAAAAAAATCAGTTAAGTGATTAAAAAAAAAAATCTAAAGAATTAGTAAGACCGCAACTAGGACCGCCGTTACTGAACCCTGAACGGTATATACAGTGCCTGTCACCGTCTTGATCCGGGAGAGGCGTTAGGCCTCTTACTCGTTGTAAAAACATTTTCTTTCAGCATCCAGCTTCAACAATAATACTTTCCTGTGAAAGCACTGGAATGTTGAGAAGTGCTAGTTGACGGGTCTCAGTAAGCATTCTTTTTCTCATAGAGGCCATCTTTTTCACCAGCATGGTGTTTATCCCCAGCAACGCACAAGCAGGCAAAGGGCAGTTTAGTCTATGAAAGGAGGAGAAAGAGGGCACAAAATGACTTCAAGCACCCTCGTCATAAATAACAGTATGATGAATATAGCTGTCTCAAGATTATCAGAAAACTATTTGACGTTTGCTTCTCCTACTCTTGCAACTCAGGTTTCTTCCAAAAACAGAGAAGACCTGAGTTCAGCTCCCTGCTCCAAGAGTTTTGTGTATTTTGTCTAAAGTTAAGCTCTGTATCTTAGAGCAGGGACCGAAACTTGGTTTCCCCCAGCCAGCTGGCTGGCCACCTTAACCTCAAAGCTTACTGCTGCATCTCTGCTTCTCGTGGATAAACAATCAGTTTTTGGCAGTAGCACAACTCATTATGGTCTTCGGTGCAACCTTTGCTCGTGAGTGTTTCTTGATTTCCTCAGTGATACCAAACTAGCACTTTTTTAGCCACGCTCTTAAAGAGTCAGAGTTTTCACCGCGACATAACTATTTCCCCCTTATATTAATTGAAAAATAAGATTAGTATCCAGAACGCTGCACTAAGTGCTAAGAAATCATGGAGAGGGTCAGAGACCAGGCCCTTTGAGGAACACAAGCTCCATCGTGAATGGATTTGCTAAATCAAAGTTGCTCGGAATCCGTAGTCCACCCATACGCCTCTGTGCCCGGCCCTTCACATGCGAGCCTAAGTTGCCCCGGTGCAGCCATAACAGCAGTGGCCAGCTAGCGTTGTACTGGAGTAAGTTAACATACACCGCACGCTCATTGTTATTCCAGCGTAGTAACTGCTGTCAAATAGCTGGAATATTCATAAGCTGCTTACAAAATAAGTTCCGGGGCATTCTTCGACTCGGTTTTTCAGTTCAATTTCTCTCAGATCCGGCATAAATACCGATTGTCATATAATAGCGTAGCATTTCCTGTATCTCATTTCTTGTCTGCTTTCGTCCTAGAGAAAAGAGGAACTGGGGTCGTTAACATTTTAAATACCTGAAAATGGCTGGCTTCTCTGCCACAGTAGACGCTCCCTAGATATACTTTTTTTTTTTTTTTTTTTTTTTTTAAGAAAAAACATTAAATGAGGGAAAATAACACAAAGTCCCATTCCTGCAGATTTTTAAAAAGTCTATTGTGAATTGATGTATCGAGTTAAGATAATCAACAATTCACATAATTCACAAATGCTTTAGAGAAAACTGAAATATGTATGTTTTTAGGATCCTCAGTACGAGGATTTTCCTGCAGAGTGGCAAGAAAAGTTGGGTGAATTCCAAAGGATGCTCATCATTCGCTGTCTGAGACCTGACAAGGTACGTACAAGGCTACTGCCTTATTAAAAAAAAAAACAAAAAAACAAAAAAACCCCTCTGTCTATTTTAGAAGCAAAAAACATTTGCAAATTTGCATTTCAACTGAGTTGCCGCAGTTTAGCCCCAGCTGGCAGCTAAGCGCTGCGCGGGCACTTGCTCAGTACTCACAGTGAGACGGGGGAGAGAAACGGATGTGGTAAGACTGTGAAAGTTCACGCTGAGGTAGTCTGTTCACCAGGTAGAAGTCACGGTAAGATAAATGCCGTCGTTCCAAATGTACTCTCTCCTCCTTCTTTCCCCTAGCTTCTACATACGTAACAATAGGACACGGAACGTACCTTTGGTTAGCCTAGACCAGCCACGTCTGCTCCCAGAAAAGTGTAACAAGCAGACTTATTAACGTGGAGGGATAGGCTTTGAGCTTTTTTTTTTTTTTTTTTTTTTAAAAAAAAAAAAATAAAAAAAAAGTTTCACTGCATATACCAAAATCTCCTGGGCATTTCCAACTCAAGGTCATCTTACAAGCCTAGTGACTTTCCCTTTTTATTACATCTGACAACTTGGCTCGCATAAGTTTTTCATGTTGCTATCCAAGGTCGATTAGACTGGTGTAGGAAGCTAATTTAACAGCAGCGTAGACTGTTAAGTAGTAATTATTGCAGACAGCCAGGTCCATTTTGTCCTACACAAAGTATTTTGATTCAGGACCGTCGCGAGTGTCTGGCTCAAAGACTTGAATAAGGCATAGATCGCAGCAGGTACTCGCTGTTAGTCATCTTTATTCAAAGGTCAGCCCATGAAAAGCAAGATAAAAGTATTTGCTTACGTATTTATCATACATTCACAGGTTATCGTGACTAGTGTTAGCTCACGCCTACCTGTGAGAAAGCATTTTGCGAAAGAGAGAAATAAATCGGTTACTACTTCTGCTCCAGAGAGCCTATTAAGGAATTCTTCCTCAAACTGCTGTTCAGCTTAATGTTAGTATTTGCACAGGAATAAAAATATGTTTACTGTATAAAGAGGAAAAAAATGTCAGTCATATTCAATTTCACCTTGCCAGTGGGGTTCATTTTATTTTTTTTTTTTTTTTTTTTTTTTTTTTTTTAAATATATTAAGCAAACTTTTAAGTTGCGAGCATGTTGTTCAGCTATGCTTTAAATAGCATCAGGGAGAGATTCTTGAATTTAGTTTTAGTTTAGGTATATTTAGGTAATAACTTTTTATAATTAGTCCAGCTTCTGAAGTATCAGACCGCTTCCAATAAAGCAGACTGCTCCTATTTTTAGCTATTTGAGCGCTGTTTATTCTTGATGTAATCTTGACGGCCACCAGCTATATTTTCAATATGAGACCTTACCAGCAAGATAAAGATCTATTGCGCAAAGCCACAGGGGGCTTAGACAACGAATAAGGGGGGCACAGTTAGCACGCCTCATCAGGGAGTTCATCTCAGTTCATTCTCTATTATTATCCATAGAATTAAGAATAAAAATTATGGCATGTCAAAGGCCATTAATTAAAAAAGTTCAGATATGTGTGCTTCGGTATACGTCAACAGCACGGCCCGCACAAATACGGTAGGGACGATCAGAACTCGAGAACCACAACTCATTCAAAAGATTTGCAGTCTGACGGCATAATTAGACAGCAATTCAGTGTAAAGCTAGAGACAAAAAGCAGCAGTCCGACCAAGTTTTATTTTGTCAGGTGTGGTATTCTTCCCCTCTGAGAAAAGATAGAGTTGCTAGTTGTAGTTTCCGGGAATTACTATTACACACTCATGTTCATTTTTCTACTGCAATGCGATGTTGGATAAACAATCGGAACTGAACTAAGTTTTCATCCAGAAGCTAGACAAACTAGGTTTGGAAGGGCTAGAGCTGCAGGTTACTTAGCAAATAAGGTATTTTAATTATCAATTCCAAGTTACTCGTTCTGGCATTACACCATCATGCCTTCCCTAGCGTTCAACCTTCTTAAGAAAAGAAAGAGTTCTGTTTTGTTTTTTTTTTGTTTGTTGTTTTTTTGTTTGTTTGTTTGTTTGTTGTTTTTTTTGG